GTAAATAATTTAGATATGAAGTACAATATCCCGAAAAACAATAAATAACTATTTATAATTACTAATACGAAAAATTTAAAATAACTAACTGTAAGTGGAATTCTGTCTTAAGGCAATTAAGGCATCGGCCTTAAGGCAAATTGCTGGAACTTCCCGTACCGCAATTCAAAATTCGAGTAATTAAAAATAATCAATAAAAGTTGATCAATGATTTGAAACTTTTAATAGAATTTCGAACCATATTAAATCATTCTATCTTAAATCATTTATTTTGAAGTATTTTGGAAATTCTGAACTTTTTTTCAAAGCAATCGTACTGCTTTAACTGCATAAAGACGAAATATCGAAGCGCGTAAGCGCCGCGCCGCCGTCTAACGAATAAGCATTAGTACGGAACCCATAGGAATGTAAACAAAATTTATACCTATTGTTAAAATCTCTATAAAATATCTGTTAATTTGATGTGCATATGTCTAATGTTCATTTTTGGCCGTAAAATAGCTTTTTTTACTTTTTTTACTAGATCTCCGAAACCGCTAGACCCGCCTTCATGAAAATTTGATCAGTTCTTACTCTTGTTAATGCAAGTAAAATGTTTTTTGAATTATTAAAATCGGACGCTCCGTTCTCTTAAAAACTGAGTTACCGTTTTCGGCACTTTTTGCCCCGTATCTTCGGAACGGCTGGACCTGCCTTCGCCAAAAACTAATCAGCACGTCTTATCAATACAAATCGAATGTTTTTTGAATTATTACATCGGTTGATCCGTGTTCCCGAAATCGTCGACGAAAATTTGTATCCGCACATACATACATACATACACGCACACACACACACACACACATACATCAATTTTTTCTGAGGTATGCCAAAATGTTCAGAAACCTCTGAAACGTAAATATCTAAAAAAAATTTCATTTTCGATTTTTTTGCGATTACTATAACTTGCCCTACGGGAAGTTAAAAACCATTCGATTTCTATTGATAAAGAGATGTGTTGAGTAGTTATTTAAACAAAAATTGTAAGTTACAAAAAAATAGTTTGAAAAATTTCAAAAAAAAATGAAAACTTCCAAATATTTCAAAGAATGTTCAAAAATGGTTAAATAAAGAAAAACAGAATTACAAAATTTTTAAAGTGATCCTAGAACTATTTTTGTGAGAAAAAAAAACAAAAAAATTACCTATATTTATTTATGATAAAGGTCCTTAAATGCCTTTACTTTAACTTCACCAAAAAATCGAAAATGAAAATTTTCATATATCTTTACGTTTCAAAGGTTTCTGAACGTCAGAAAAAACGGGTAGTTTTTCTTTTTTCACACCTTAGAAGAAATGGTTAGTTAAAAAATGTGAAGTGATCGTGAGTGAGCGTGAATATGAGTAAGTCTAATACAAAAAATAATATTCAGTTTAGAATAATTTAATTATCCCCAGGTGACAATTACATGGGCATAGTCTACAAACTAACAATTGCCTGCACCAAAAAGAACGGCACCAAAGACCAGCGTCATCTAATATGCAAAATTCCGCCCTCCAATGCCGCCCGAAGAGAACAATTCAAATCCCGAATTTTTTTCGAAAGAAACCTACATGTACCTAAAAGTTCTACCAGAATTCGCCCTTTTACAAAAAGAACTAGGCTGTAAAACCCGTTTCGACGGCTACGCCAACTGCATAGCAGCCGGCGAAGAAAACCTGGACGAATTCGTCCTGATGGAAGATTTACGATCCCAAGGCTTTCTCATGTTCGATCGACACCAGAAACTGGATCTTAACCACGTGGCTCTGGTTATGCAGGAACTGGGTAAATATCATGCTCTAAGCTTTGCCATGAAGGACCAGAAACCGGAGTTGTTCAAGAAGTTGGCGGATTTTAAAGATGTGTTTTTCGACGGTGTTCTGAATGAGGGTTTTAATACTTATATCAATACTTTGGTGGATAAGGCTCAGAATACATTAGATGAAGATGATAAGTGCAGGCAGAAATTGGAGCAGTTTCGGCATTTGAGTACACTTGGCACGGAGTTGGTGAAGGGTGCAAATGCTGAACCTTATGCTGTTATCAATCATGGTGATTGTTGGAATAATAATGTACTGTTTCGGTATATCGAAGGTAAGTAGTAATTACAAAATTAACTTTAACAATAATAATTCTAAATACTCGCACGTTCTACTCATTATTATTTTTGTTCCGAAATAATAATCACTCATGATTAAAAATAAGGTGACCATACGTCCCGGTTTGGCCGGGATAGTCCCGGAATTCTACCATGTGTCCCGAGTTTTTCTAAAAGCAATATTTGTCCCGGATTTAGTTCTTTTGTCCTGGATTGTCCTAGGTTTTCGAAAAGATTAGTTTAAATTAAATCTTTGCAATTACTTCATAATAAAATTACAATAAATATCATTAAATAGTATATATGCTTATAAAAATCAATACGTTATGAATGAAAATATTGCCGAATACAAAATTCCGATTAAAATAGCTTTTCACATTAATAAATTCTAACTTTTATATGCAATTTCACGAAAATTTAATAGAAGTACTATTTTTTCAAGTTAATTATGAAGAAAATAGAGCAGAATTTTAATACAAGGCTCAAAAGCGAAAAAACATATAGATCGAAACATATAAAATTATAATATAAAATAGTGTATGGCATCTTAAGGCAAATTGCTGGAAGTTCCCGTACCGTAACGAAATGTTCGAGGAATATTAAATGCTTCAAATAGATTAATATAAATATTGTAACATTGTCTAATATTTATAAGAATGATATAAACTGAAATGCAAAGTTAAAACCATTTACTTAAAGTATATAAGTGAGCTTTATAACCTAAAATTTTTTTTTTTTTTTAAATGATTTTGGATTTTTCCCCCAAAGCAATTGTTTTGTCAACACAAGCAGAAAGTTTTTTGAGTCATTCAAATCTTTTAAAAACTGTCATTTTTTGCACATTTAGCTTGGTATCTCCAAAACGGCTGGACTTGCTTTTTCCAAAAACTAATTACCGCTTCTTGTCATCACTACGAATTGAATGTTTTTTTCATCATTCAAATCGGATGCTCCATTCTCTCAATATCTATTTTCTGCATTCTTTGCTTCGTAACTCCAAAACAACTCGACCTACCTTTGCCAAAAATTAATCAGCACATCTTTCTATCACTAGAAATCGATTGCTTTTTGAATTATTCAAATTGGCTGAGTGGTACTCCCGAAAACGTCGACTAAAAATGGTATCCAAACATACAAACACGCGTGCGCACACATACACATTTCAATTTAAATTCCAATTTTTACTATTTTTAAAAAATTTGAGAAACTCAAAAAACAGTAAAAAAGACACTTTTTTTAAACAGTCGCCATTTTGTAAAAAAAATATTTTTACTCATCGCTAGTTCGGGCGATTGCGACATCATTGTAGATTAAAAATCTTTTTATTTTTTGCATTTCCCATGGCTAGGAGGGCTGAAATCATGACAAGACTGAGGTGCCAATTTTTTGAGACCACCCACTTCATCAGCTGCCAGTTTTTTACAATTTTCAACTTCTTTATTTTTAATTTTTGTTTTGTATATTAATAATATTAATAAACAAGTGGTAAAAAAATTGATAGTATAAACATTCATTGCTTTTTTTACGACACTTTAAAAATGACCTAAAATTCATCGCTCAATTTAGAATACCCCCTTAAGAAATTAACACATCCTTATGTATGTTCATACATAATTTCTTAGATAACATTACATGCAAATACTAAACTGCAGCATTAATTATGCAGAAAAACGAATTGTAGGTATGTACATATATATTAATTGGTCGCGATTGGTATTCCGGATAATTGCAAATCCGTATAACTGAGGTCCGGATAAATAAGGTTCTACTGAATGTGCATTTGTAGTACACAAAATTTGTACTCATTATTATAATCTTTACAAAATATCTGATAATACGTACATATGGCTAATGTTCATTTTTGACCGCCAAATGGCACTATTTTTAACTTCCCGTAGGGTAAGTTATAGTAATCGAAAAAAATCGAAAATGAAAATTTTTATATATCTTTACGTTTCAGAGGTTTTTGAATATTTTGGCATACCTTAGAAAAAATGGATGTATGTGTGTGTGTGTGTGTGTGAGCGCGTGTATGTATGTGTGTGCGGATACAAATTTTCGTCAACGATTTCGGGAACACGGATAAAGCAATTTGAATAATTCAAAAAACATTCGATTCGTATTGAAAAGGAGACGTGCTGATTAGTTTTTGGCGTAGGCAGGACCAGCCGTTCCGAAGATATGGGGCAAAAAGTGCCACACACGGTAACTCAGTTTTAAGAGAACGGAGCGTTCGATTTTAATAATTCGAAAAACATTTAAATTATATTGACAATATGAAGTACTGATTAAATTTTTGGGAAGGCAGGTCTAGCGGCTTCGGAGATCTAGTAAAAAAAGTAAAAAAATATGCCATTTGGCGGTCAAAAATGATCATTAGACATATGCACATCAAATTATCAGATACTTTATAGAGATTTCAACAATAAGTATAAATTTTGTTTACATTCCTATGGGTTCCGTACCAATGTTTATCCGTTAGACAGCAACGCGGCGCTTACGCGCTTTATATTTTGTCTCTATGCTGTTAAAGCAGTACGATTGCTTTGAAAATAAGTTCAGATCTTCCAAAATATGCTAAAATAAAGGAAACTTTTTTTTCAAAAAAAAAAATAAATAAAAAATAATTTTTTTTTTTCAAAAAAAGTAATTTTTTGTCCAGTTTATAGTTTCTCAAAAATCTTATTTTTTCGAAGTAAAATTTTTTCAAAAATGTTAATCGTTTTTAAAAAAATAATAATTTTTGGTACGGGAAGTTCCAGCAATTTGCCTAAAGGCACGATGCCTTAATTGCCTTAACACAGATTTCCACTTACAGCTAGTTACTGTTTTATTGAATCTCCGCAGACGCTAGACCTGCCTTTATTTGTAGTAATTGTACACTCTGATTGCACAACGCACCATGACTTGGTTAAATAGACAAAAATTGACGACGTTCTTTATTTAGTACATCCACATCTTAGTGCACCAACATTAGTACCGTCGCACTGGCCGTCCTGATGTTCACATTTTTCAAAACGATACCATATCGAATCATGATGCCACTACACGCTCATCATCACTTCTATTATAACTGCATCTTTCACCAACTCTAACTTTTCTTTATTTCATCCCTCAGGTAAACCGTACGAAGTCCGCCTCCTCGACTGGCAGATATCTCGATACTCGTCACCAGTCCTCGACCTGGTCTACTACATATTCTGCTGCACAGAGAAACAATTAAGGAAACGACATTACGAGACATTCCTGCACATCTACCACGGATCCTTATCTTCGTTCCTGCACGAATTAGGAAGCGACCCAGAAAAAATGTTCCCTTACCGAGCCCTGCAGGACCAGCTGAAGGAATTCGGTAAATTCGGCATCCTGATGAGCTTGATGGTGATCCAGGCCATGGTTATGCAACCTGAAGAGACTCCTGATTTGGACGAGGTTGCCAGGATCATGGAGGAGGATCCTGAGAATATGAAGTTTATGGATCCTTCTGCTGCCAGTGAAGTTATTTATAAGAGCAGGATGAGGGATATTATAAAGGATATGGATAGGTTGGGGTATATATAGCGTTAATGAATTAGGTAAACTAGTGGTGTATGGCATCGTGCCTTAAGGCAAATTGCTGAAACTTCCCGTACCGTAATAAAATGTTCGAGAAATTTTAAACGTTTTCAAATACATTATTACAAATACTGTAACTTTCATTATTTTTAACTTCCCGTAGGGTAAGTTATAGTAATCGCAAAAAAATCGAAAATGAAAATTTTTATATATCTTTACGTTTCAAAGGTTTCTGAACATTTTGGCATACCCTAGAAAAAATTGATGTATGTGTGTGTATGTGTGTGTATGCATGTGTGTGTGCATGTGTGTGTGCGGATACAAATTTTCATCGACGATTTCGGGAACACCGATCAACCGATTTAAATAATTCAAAAAACATTCGATTCGTATTGATAAGGAGACGTGCTGATTAGTTTTTGGCAAAGGCAGGTCTAGCCGTTCCGAAGATACGGGGCAAAAAATGCCAAAAACGGTAAGTTTTTAAGAGAACGGAACGTCCGATTTTAATAATTCAATAAACATTTTACTTGTATTGATAAAATGAAGAACTGATTAAATTTCTGGGAAGGCAGGTCTAGCGGTTTCGGAGATCTAACAAAAAAAGTAAAAAAAAATGCCATTTGGCGGTCAAAAATGATCATTAGACAAATGTTCATCAAATTATCAGATATTTTATAGAGATTTTAACAATAAGTATAAATTTTGTTTGCATTTCTATGGGTTCCGTAACATCGTTTGTTTGTTAGACTGCTACGCGACGCGTACGCGCTTTGACATATCGTCTCTATGCAGTTAAATCAACGCGATTGCTTTGCAAAAAGTTCTAATATTCCAGATTTAAAATATAAAAAAAAAGTTTTTTTCAAAAAGTTTTTCTTTCAAAAAAGTCAATTTCTTTCAAAAATTTAAAATTTTTCACAGTCAAGTCAAAGTTCAATATCTAATTTTTCCAAATATTTACAAAGCTTCAAATGCAAAACTAGTGGTGTATGGCATCGTGCCTTTAGGCAAATTGCTGGAACTTCAAGTACCGTAATGAAAAATTCGAGAAATTTTAAACGTTTTCATATAGATTATTATAAATACTGTAACTTTCATTATTTTTGCTATCTTGTTATATCTGAGCAAATCAAATGTAAATCATAAATAAATCAATTTATCTCCAGAACATTAACAACAATCGTCATTTCATTTCGAATTCAATTTAAAAAAAAATATAGTTGCCTAATTAATTTACACAAAATTGAAGAAGTGCTCTCGTATAGTCACAGTCTAAACGCATTTGCAAATATTTCTGTGCGACATTTTCACTTATACTGTGCTTAGCTTGGCGGCATTTTAACATTTTTCAATAGTTTTCATAAATTTGGAAAAGGTGCCTGGGTATTTTTTTGAATTTTTAATCCAAAATTACAAAAACTCGATTGGTATTTTCTGCACTCTTTGCTCCGTGTCTCCGTAACGGCTAGACCTGCCTTTGCCATAAACTAATCAGCACATCTCCCTATTAATAGGAATCGACTGTTTTTTAAACCATTCAAAACGGTTGAACCGTGCGCCCGAAAACGTGGACGAAAAAATGCGGACATACAAAACACACACATATTAATTTTTTCTGATATGAGGTATGCCTTAAAAATGTTCAGAAACCTTCAAAACGCCGAGAAATGCAAAAATTTTCATTTTCGATTTTCGGCCCTTTACTATAACTACCATACGGGAAGATAATAAGAATTTGGAGGTTGATGGAATCTTTTGACAATAATTAGGCCGCTGTTTTTTTATTAATCATATTCCAACTCGGATAAGATTTACCCGCCCCTGTTTAATTTATCCTTTACGATATTTTATGATGTAATAAAATCTTAGATAAAAAATTCTCAAGTACAAATGTAAGTTTATGTTTTTGTGAAAATGCAAGTTTTATTTAGATAAGTACCAAAGAGAGATAACAAGTATTATGACCAATTGTTTTATTATCTTAAGTGCACTGCAATTTTATGTGATGATTTGTAAATGCATATATATATATATATATATATATATATATATATATATGCAAACATATTTCAAACATAGCAGCCCATTCGTCGAAATAAAAAGGTGCAAAAAGGTACAAAGGTATGTTACATTTCAAAACTTTTTTCAAAATGTTTTTAATTTTGTAATTATTCATTATTTTTCCAAAAAATATTTTTCCAATAATTACTTTATATTTGTTTTTTATTATTAGTAAAAATTTTCGAATTTATTGTAGTTGCTGAATGATGACACGCATCTTGTGTCTAAACGTTATAAATAAAAGTTTACTACTTTATTACCTTTTTATTTCGACGAAGGGGCTGCTAGATACTTTATAATATATATATATATATATATATATATATTATTTTATTTTATTAAATAAATTATTTCTAAATTTAAAAATTAGTTTTATTTTTTTATCTTTCAATTTGAAATTATCATATATCATAAACTTGGCGTTTGATTGAAATGAAATATAGATGTACAAAAATAACTCTACTGACAAGCTCTACGGACTGAAAATCAGATAAAAAGACTGTACTGGCGAGCAGATAAATCTTTAACTCATCTCAAATAATAGTAGATCGAATTGCTCTATGTATTAGAAAGGGACTCTACTGACAAGCAAACTGATTTCGATCAACTTGGAAGAAGAATTTAGTAAAATTTTATAATTTGTAATAAACAAAAAATATTCTACTGACGAGCAAACTAATTTTGTCAATTTCGAGGAAGAATCTAGTAAAATATTAATATTTTCTTCGAGAAAAAAGAACTCTACTGACAAGCAAACCGGTAAAACGTATAGTTTTGATTAACGATTAGATTTCCATATCAAATGAGTTTGTTATAACTTGCCGACAGGTTCGAAGATACTATTATACACTTGAATGATAAAATAACTAAATCGAACGATAAGAGAATAAGATAAGACAACGATAACAAATCATTTTTAAAAACATAATAGTCATTCCGACAATAAACGCATAAAGTGTTACATTCGACGAACAAATTTAAATATATGTGTGTTTTAAATTGGTTAATAATAATTTATCATAATTTTTTATAATGTCGAATGATAATAAAGAATTAAGTGCTAATGTCCTAAAAGCAGTCGACACTTTTGTAAAATCCAACGGATATGTCGACCATACTATTAATATTACAGCGGGATCAAAACGAGGTAATTTTATAAGCCAAATTTATTTTATAGTTTGAACTTCATAGATAAACAAGTATAAAAAAATGACAAACACGGCCTCTTTGACATTACACGAATTTTGATTCTTTCAGCTTATCATAGATGTCGCCGCCAACCGTAGCACATAAATTTACTCTTAGGTTTAATTCCAGATAAGATTTATATTTTCAAAAACTACCGTTTATCTCCCGATAGCAAAGTCATGAAAATCAAGTTATAGCTAGCTATACATTTTTTTTCCCTCTACTTTAAAATATTGTTGTTAAACAATGCTTAACTGTACTGGTTTTTGACACATCGGTGATGGACCTTTTTAACCCCGTACCTTCATATATTACTATCTATTCTTCTATAAATTCTGGAAAAATGTTATTCGACAAAATGTCCCTTTGATCGATACTAAATTCAGGTTCTGAATTTAAATAACATAAATAAAAAATAATATAACCCAGAAAATGTTTTATAAATACCAATGAGTATATAATTATACAAATGAGATCTTATGATTCAAAATATGATTTGCAAAAAAAAGAGTGCTACAACGCCAAAAAGTGCATTTTCATATTAACATTTCAAAAAAGTTGATATATTGAGTCTCTAGTAACACTTGCGGCCCGTTTAATAACGTTTTTGTGTATAAATATAACTACTTACTACAATTTAATCATAATTAAATAATATTCACGTAAAACATTCTATTAAACGTAATTGAATATCATATGTCACAAACCTTTGACATTTGACGTATTAGCCACCGTCCATTGCTTTATTCAAATTTGGCTTCTACAAAAATGTTCAAATTAAAAATGAAAAGTTTCTACGCGATTTTAAAATAATATCCCACCTTTCCGACAACCTACTGATTCGTACGAATTTTTTTAAGACTAAGACTGGCCTAATCGGTTTAGCCGTTTTCGAGTTTTAGCGAATCATTTTATCGAGAGCTCCATATTAATATATAAGATTAATTTGACTAAATGCAATGAGAACAAAATATACGCGTGTGATTTTCGACAAAAATCACAAATATGTTGTAAAAAATATATAATAAAAAAAACATATAAATTTTTTTAAATTCAAAAAAGATATATTTCAATATAATAGGTTGTCAAATATCTCCCTTCCGCCTTTTTGTATTATAAACCAAGAGCAAAAAAGCGGAAGGGAGATATTTGACAACCTAATATATTGGTGCTTGAACGTTTAAAGCACGTGAACTATATCTAGACGTCTTACGATGTCTTACGTTGAATTTGAAGCACACTAGCACCATCTGTGATATACTAAGAACACTCATACAAAGTAAAGCGCATTAATCAACTTTAATAATTTTTTCTACCCAGGTGACAATTACGTCGGCATAATCCACAAACTAACACTCGACTGCACCAAAAAAGACGGCACCAAAGACCAGCGTCATCTAATATGCAAAGTTCCACCCTCCAACGCCGCCCGAAGAGAACAATTCAAATCCCGAGAATGTTTCCTACGCGAAATCTATACGTACACAAAAATCCTACCAGAATTCGCCCTTTTACAAAAAGAACTAGGCTGTAAAACTCGTTTCGACGGCTTCGCCAACTGCATAGAAGCCGGCGAAGAAAACCTGGACGAATTCGTCCTGATGGAAGATTTACGATCCCAAGGCTTTCTCATGTTCGATCGTCAACAAAAACTAGACCTTAACCACGTCGCTCTGGTCATGCAGGAACTGGGTAAATATCATGCCTTGAGTTTCGCCATGAAAGACCAGAAACCGGAGTCGTTCAAGAAGTTGGCGGATTTGAGTGATGTGTTCTTTGATAATTTTGTGAACAAACAATTCGATTTTTATATCAATTCTGTGGTTGATAAAGTGGTCAACGCTATGGAAGAAGGTGATAAGTGCAGACAGAAGTTGGAGAAGTTCAGGGATTTTATGACACTCGGAAAGGACTTGGCGAAGGGTGCTAATGCTGAACCTTATGCTGTTATCAATCATGGCGATTGTTGGAATAATAATGTGCTGTTTCGGTATATCGAAGGTAAATAGTAACTAGTGGTGTATGGCATCGTGCCTTAAGGCAAATTGCTGGTACTTCCCGTACCGTAATGAAATATTCCAGAAATTTTAAACGTTTATTACAAATACTGTAACTTTCATTATTTTTCCTATCATGTTATATCTGAGCAAATCAAATGCAAACCATAAATCAATTTATCTCCAGGACATCAACAATCGTCATTTCATTTCGAATTCAATTTAACTGCCATATGTAGGTTTTGAGGCAACTTTTAGGTGTCGATATACAAGTATTTACAGACTTATAGCTGGGCTGCGTATCTCGAATTTCGAAAAATTCCAAAAAATTTCAAACTTCTAAAAAATTTGCATAATGTTGTTAAAAATTGAAGAAATTTCTTGTAAACATACACATAAGTTCTAATTATAATACGCTCGTCGCCCAATTTAATAATCACTTATAAATTTACAGTATGTATTTATAATAAACTAACAAACCCGACGAACTCCGTTTCGCCACCAGATGGTTTCGTGAGAAAGATGAATAAATTTTTTGTTTGTTTTATATTTGAAAAGAAAAAAATTGATTTTTTACACAACAGTAATGAATTTATTTCGATTACAAAAATGAAGTGTTTCTCTAAGTAAATGAAAGTGAATCCGCAAATTATCCGTTTCATTGAAGTGCTCTTTGGTAAACCACATTTTTTGTTTTTTGGTCTGACGTTAACACAAACAAAGCGGATGGTTTCCCAACTCGTGAACAGGCAACGTATAACTGCTTATGTGAAAAACAATGATTTTCTAAATAATCTATTTGAAATTTATCCCGCAAACACTAAGCGATTGGCCTTGCGACTTGTTAATTGTTATTGCGAACGCAAGGCAAAATGGAAATTGCAATCGTTTGAAGTCAAACGGAAGATCAGTCGGAATCATTGGTATGTCACCAAATCGCCAGCAATTTTTGATTGAATGGTGAAATTCAGTGCGTGTACATCATTATTCTTTGCGGCGAGAATTGCTAGTTGACTTAACCAAGCATAATTCTGATAATTCTCACTAATGTCATTACTCGAAATTTTAATTACTGTGCGTGAAATTCCAGCAATTTGCATTAGGGCACGATGCCATGCACCACTAATTTTCTTAGCTATAAACCTTGCGGAGTCCGAGACCTTTCCAACGAGTGCAAACGAGTGCAAAATTGAAATCGGTTCGTGCGTTCTGGAGTTATATCGTCAGAAAGGAAAACCAGACTTACTTTTATATATATGTAGATAATCTATTTGGAATTATTTAAAACAACTATTGATTATTTTCATTCCTCGAATGTTTAAATACGGTACGGGAAGTTCCAGCAATTTGCCTTAAGGCACGATGCCATATACCACTAGTTTATGTTCCTAAACAATAATTATTTATAGTTAATATGCAACAGTGCATTTTTTGTCTTGGCTCTTCTTAGTTTTTCCAAATATTTTGCAACATTTTGCCAAATAATGTGCATTTGTAGAATTTCTACACTCTGATTGCACAACGCACCATGACTTGGTTGAATAGACAAAAATTGACGACGTTCTTTATTTAGTACATCCACATCTTAGTGCACCAACATTAGTACCGTCGCACTGGCCGTCCTGATGTTCACATTTTTCAAAACGATACCATATCGAATCATGATGCCACTACACGCTCATCATCACTTCTATTATAACTGCATCTTTCACCGACTCTAACTTTCCTTTATTTTATCCCTCAGGTAAACCGTACGAAGTCCGTCTCCTCGACTGGCAGATATCTCGATACTCGTCACCAGTCCTGGACCTGGTCTACTACATATTCTGCTGCACCGAGAAACAATTACGGAAACGACATTACGAAACATTCCTGCACATCTACCACGGATCCTTATCGTCGTTCCTGCACGAATTAGGAAGCGACCCCGAGAAAATGTTCCCTTACCGAGCCCTGCAGGACCAGCTGAAGGAATTCGGTAAATTCGGCATCCTGATGGGCATGACTATACTAAACGCGATGATTGCTAACCAGGAAGATATTCCTGATATGGACGAGGTTGCCGAGATGATGAAGAACGATCCGGATAATAAAAAGTTTTTGGAACAGGCGAAGGTTAATGATGACAAGTTTAATCGGAGGATGATCGATATTATTCATGATATGGACAGACTTGGTTATATATAAATTTATACTTTGGCCTCGGGTTGTGTAGAGATGACATAGCCTCTGGTCTGTGCAATAATACTTAAAAAATTTTTCCACAGTTTTGCAAAACAAAACTCTCATTTTTCTTACTAAAAAAAATCATGATTATCGACTGGTTGGTTGTATCAATGTTAGTGCAGAATTCTGTGATGTGTACACATTTTTAGATATAAAATACTATGTTCAATATCCACTGATGATGACATTAAATTGAATGTCGAAACGTTTGGAATTAAAGATTATTTTATAAATCTTTGCCTTTTCCTTGTTTGATGTATCGCCCTCAAGAACTCACTCATATAAATTTATATACAACTAGCTGACCCGGCAAACGTTGTTTTGCTAATATTCTAATCAATTTCTAGAGAATCAAAAATATTAATACTTTAAGTGTATAAGGATGTGTTGTTTGAATGCTATATACATACAATGAGGTATTATAATAACAATAAACCCCATTAGTTTGTCTATATCAAATACAATCAAACTGAAAGTTTTATACACTTTCTATAGAAACATGGTATAAACCATCCAAGTCTTCCTTGGTCTTTCCACTTATTGATTACGTTTCAAGTTTTTCACATTCTTTTTGAATTCTGAATTTTGTGTATAATTGTAATTAATACTACTGAGCTTATACAAAATTTTCATATTTCTGCGAGGAGAGATAAAAAATAAATTAAGTATTTCTTCTTTGACCTGCTTTTTGAAAAGTTTTAAGTAACATTCGATGAATTAAAGTAAATTTAATAAAAACTATATATGTAAAGCAAGACGAGGCACAAAGATCCAATTTGACTTTGAGCAAATATAAACTATATTGTCAAAACCATAACAATTATATCACAACAAATAACACATTTCAAACGAACAATTATCTAACTACGTTCAGTAAAACTGCCAACTACTTCATCATTGTAGAAATGTGGTTTTTTGCTGCCTTTCAAAAATTAGTTATCTAGACCTTTTTACCCTATAGGCGGGTAACTTGGAACAGCCAGGTGGCAAACACGTTTAATGTCTAATTTTAATTTTAAAGGTATTTTACAAAATAATTACATTTTTAACTAATGCTAAAAAACTACCAACGGAAGAAAACACTTTTATTATGGATTTTATTTTAATGGAAGTCATAAGAATCAAGATTATAGCTGGTTATACACCTTTTTCCCTTTACTTTCAAATAGTGTTGTTAAACAATGCTTAGCTTTACTGGTTTTTGACACTTTAGTCGTGGAACTTTTAACCCGGGACCTTCATATATTGCTATCCATTCTTTGATAATTTTTGGGAAATTATAAATGGGAAAATGTTATTCAACAAAAGGTTGATACCAAATTTAGGTTCTGAATTTAAATAACACAAATAAAAAATAGTATAATCTAGAAAATGTTTTATAAATACCAATGAGCATATAATTATATAAATGAGATCTTTCAGAGCACCGTGTTTGAGGAAAATATGCCAAAAAGTGCATTTTTATATTAACATTTCAAAAAAGTTGATATTTGAGTTTCTAGTACACATGCGGCCCATTTAATAACGTTTTTGTGTATAAATAAAACTACAAACAAAAGTACTTACTACAATTTAATCATAATTAAATAATATTCACGCAAAACATTCTAATAAAAGTAATTGAACATCATCTGTTAAAAACGTTTGACATTTGACGTATTAGCCACCGTCCAATGTTTTATTCAAATTACGCTTCTACAAAAATTTTCAAATTAATCATGTAAAGTTTCTACGCGATTTTGAAACAATATCTCACTTTTCCGACAATCTACTGATCAGCACAAATTTTTTAAGACTAAGACTGGCCAAATCGGTTAAGCCGTTTTCGAGTTTTAGCGGATCATTTTATCGAGAGCTCCATTTTTATATATAAGATTTACAAATTAAAATAAAATTTACCGTTTGTTTTTTTTATTATAATCATTTATATATTTATTGAACGATGAAAGTACAATGATCAAAAAATCATACAAAAACTAATCTTGTATTTTTATATATATCGAATAATGCATTAAAGCTCAATTTCTAATAATTAATTAATATATATATTTATATATTTTGTAATAATATATTTAAAAACCTTTCGACAAAGAAATATATATATATATATATATATATATATATATATATATATATATATATATATATATATATAGTCCGGATATAACGATCTTCATTGAACACATTGGACTCTAAAACCGGTTTAATGTAATATCCGGACTACAATATACTCGTATATATTAAGGTGGTCCTTAATATGGATATTTTCGAATTTTTTTGCTAGCAAGAGCTCAAATGCTGCCAAAATGATAAAAAAAAACAATTCTATAAAAATTTCAGATATTAATCTTAACTTTAAAATAGTCCGCACTTCAACCACCAAAATTTCTCGGTTTATCTTAAGTGAATACTTATTTTATAAAATATAACAATTTTTTGTTGTATTTTTTATTTATGATCGTACAATGTTATTCTCAGAATTTTGATTCACTTATTGCTTGGTATAAAATTCCAAAAACAAATGGAATTTTACCCATAAAAAACTTTGGTTGCAGTGCGGACTATCTTAAAGTTAACATTAAGAGCCAAAACTTTCAGAGAATTTTTATTTATCATTTTGGAAGCATTTGAGCCCCTGGGAGCAAAGAAATTTGAAAATATCCATATTCAGGACCACTCTAATATATATTATAAAACTTATTAAAATATAAATTTGTTTATCCAATATTGAACAAGAACAATTCAAATATAAGATCTAAGATCTGAACCACTTGGATTGCAAATTTTACATTTGTAATTTAGCTAATAATTTAGAATTAAAATTGTATGTTAATTGAAACAAGTAGAACCTTATTATTTTAAATTTGCAATAAATAATTCTCCTGGTTTCCAATTTAAATAATAAAAACAATCTAAAGCATTTTGAAAACAAATCATTTTCATGTCCCACGAGACACTGGAGTAGATTTTATATAAAATTTTCATAAAAATACAAAAAAAATCTGACTTTATAATAAAATATTGATTGCCTGTTACTTTTTTGTGGAGTGGATTTTATCTAAAAGAAATCATAAAAATGCAAAAAAAATCTGACTTCATAATAAAATATTTCCAATTTGATTTGCACATTTTTTTATAATTATGCTGCAGTCCAGATGGAACAGATCTACAAAACTTACAAATGATATTCTGTTCGTGAAAAAATATTATAACTTATTTTTTTCATACTTGTTTGAGCTATTATAATATTAATACAAACTAATATTGAAATTGTTGAAGTCGAGATGCACTAAGAAAAAATTTAAAATTAATTGCTGATATGAATATAAAAAAAAATTATCATGACAACGTTATCTTAAGCTTGTTCCTGGTAGTAAAAATTATAAAAATGTATTTTACATATAAACAAAGCAAGGAAAAATGTTATGATAACTGCATCATCTAGAATTTTGTTTTTGTAACATTCATCCTTGCTTGTTTATATGTAAAATACGCCTGATCGCACGGCAAGTAGATAGACATTTTCATACATTTCACTTATATGTGGCGAGCATAGCTCACTTGGTAGCGTGTTCGATTCAAACGACAGGGATCTTTGGATCGAATCCTGTCATTGGCTTAGAATATAGGAAAAAAATATGTTTAATTTGAAATCAAATGAAAATTGTATTTGTTAAGTAGAATTTGAATAAAAATTAAGAAAAATGGGTATAACAGAGTTCAAATAGCTGAATTGTAAGAATTATTAGAACTGAGCTGAAATTAAAAGAAAAATGAAGAAAAAAATGAAATGAAGCTAGAAGCTGAATAAAATTAAAAATTAGAAAAAAAGCAAGAATTGAAGAAATTAAGAAAAAAAAAATAAAAAAAATATAGAATACATACATATACATATGTAGATTGAAAATGATATAAAAATTAAAATGTAAATAAATAAAAAATGCTGTAGGTGGCTAAATGCTCAGAGTAAAAAAGGCCAAATAATTTTTTTAAGAAAAAAAAAAGAACAAGCATAACATAGCGTTGCCATTGCAAAACTATTAAGTGTTTAAATGAGACAATATTATAAATGTACTACTGATAGTACACTAATGAATTTTTAATTTCAACTACATGCAAGTGTATCAACGACTTCAACATTTCAATATTTAAATTTCCAATAACGATATAAAATATAATAATAATAATAATAGGTCTGTTCCGTGTGATGCAAAACTGTCAACGGTTTGAAACTAAGATAACGACGTTCCTGACTAAATCCAATCACACGGAACAGACCTCATATTTGCAAGCACAATATTTACATCATAATTATTAATTATAATATTTATATTATAATTTGCTAAAAGAAAAACATGGCAAAGTATTAAAGAATATTAATATAGGGACCGATTCTGCCAAATAACAGAAAAATGTTATGGCGAGATAAAAAACCTAACCTAGAAACCGCACAAATGTCAAAAAACGATGTTTGATAACAGGGTCTTTCTGACTCGGCTCCATAACATACGAGTGACGTTGCAGTTTATGTGTAAAACGCCTGAATGCACAGCAAATGCATGACATTTTGACAGTATTCAGTATGTATCAGTACTATCATGGCCTTGCCATAACATTTGTCTATTACCCGGCAGAATCGGTCTCATAATTTTTTTTCTTACTCATCGAACATGCAGACGTCCACTCACACAATTTTTTTAGGCTTTCATAAGTAGTCTCGAATAAAATGACTGATATTTGAGCATAAAAATTAATTTGAAAATGCAAACGTATCACTAATAGTAATAAGTAGAAATATTCATTGTGCGAGCAGTTGGCAATAAAAATAAAATACAAGACGAAGAAGAAGCCATGATATTTTTATTATAGAGTGTATTATAAAAATATCATTTACCCCTTGCAATTGATAATAATAATCATAATATTATATATCACTGACGGCTTATGACACAGTTTTAACATTTATTCTAATATTTATCCTTAATGTATATTTATAGATGTAATCACGTTTCAAAAACAAGCGAGAACGAAATGAGTGAAATATTGAATTTTTTTTAGGGTTGTTTTGAATAATAATCCGAGAGATGATAAATAAAGTTATCGATAAATAGCTTACAATACTAATTACAGTAGTAGCGTAGCTTAGAAAATATAATGAATGAGAACATCCACCAAATAACAATAAAAAATCTCATCGAAGGAATACAAAGAACATTATTGATATATGGGCCAATTTTACTGGTAACATAGCGTTGTTATGGCAACCTTATCTTTTTAGTAGTGAAAAACGTGTAATGCTATTTGCAGTGCGATCAGGCGTATTTTACGTATAAAGAATGTAAGAAAGGATCTTATGATAACTGCATCTAGTCCAGTCATTTGGTCATTTTGCCGGTACAGTACTCCGGGAATTCTGGAAATTGGTAATCTTATAGATTTCGAGGTGCTCTTTACGAAAATCAACTTTGCCACCTCAAATTTGAACAGCAAGTTGCCGCCATATTGAAAAAATTACGTCAAAAAACAGCTTTTTTTAAAATATCTCCTTTCTGGCTCATTCTACGATAAAAGTATCTATGTACGAATTAAACTAGATAAAATTTCCTACAATTCTTTAGAAAACCGTTTTTTTGTAAAATTGATAGTTTGAGAGTACGGCCGCCTCAAAGTCTTTGCTGCTCTCGCCGTAGTATCAAATCTCTCCATATATGACAGCACTTCGAACTTGACCACATTCTTTCTAATAAATAAATATTTTCAATGTTAAATTAAGCGAATAAGATCTAGAAATAAATTAATTCAAATATTTTTCTGTTTTTTTGGTGATTTTTTAACGCTTCAAGCTACTTGAAGCTATAAGGTGCTACTTAAGATATAAGTATACCTATAGCTACTTTGCCATTGAAGTGTTAAAAAATTAGCAAAAAAACGAAAAATATTTAAATTATTTTATTTCTAGATCTTATTTGCTCAATTTAACATTGAAAATATTTATTATTAGAGAGAATGTGGTCAAGTTCGAAGTGCTGTCATATATGGAGGGATTTGATACTACGGCGAGAGCAGCAAAGACTTTGAGGCGGCCGTACTCTCAAACTATCAATTTTACAAAAAAAACGGTTTTCTAAGGAATTATAGGAAATTTTATGTAGTTTAATTCGTACATAGATACTTTTATCGCAGAATCATCCAGAAAGGAGATATTTTAAAAAAGCTGTTCTTTGATGCCATTTTTCCAATATGGCGGCAACTTGCCGTTCAAATTTGAGGTGGCAAAGTTGATTATCGTAAAGAGCACCTCGAAATCTATGAGATTACCAATTTTCAGAATTCCCGGAGTACTGTACCGGCAACAGCCTTTTTTTGCACCAAATGACTGGACTAATCTGTTATCTTAACATTTTTCCTGGCTTGTTTATATGTAAAATACGCCTGATCGCACAGCAACTAGATAGACATTTTCATATTGCCATGGCAACCCTGTGTTATGGCACAATTACCCTATTAATGTTATCTTCGCATTCCCCCACATAATTATTATAAATCTTTTATCTTTTGAAACCTGTCTCACATGCTTGTCTAAAATTTGATCCGTTTTTTGTATATTTTGTGCATGCGATTGGCACTCCGAAACATTAGGACATAAGAATCAACTAATCAGCTAATAATAATAATAGTAATAGTTATAATTATATTAATATTATGTATAGGGGAGAGGTGCTACAGCAGTGTGCATTTGAACCTCCTGTTGGTTCCCAGTTTGTGCATTTTCTTCTTTTTGCTCCTAGAGTCTTTGTCCTTTCGTATTTCGCGAACGAGTGTATAGAAGGCGTCGTCGACCCCCATTCGGGTCTTTGCAGAAGTCTCGACGAAGGGCACCGCGTATTGTTTCGCCACCTGAAGGGCAAGGTAATTTTTGACTTAAGAGTAAACGTACACCCACCATTATAATAAAGGAAACCCCCGCATAACACGATATTTCTATAACACGATTTAAGAAGTTAGACCATCCCCCTCGCAATACGGTACTTTCGGGTTCCCATAAGACGGTTTAAGAATTGAGGAAAGTTTTAATAGAATAAGACATATAGTAAAACGTGTGAAAAGCAACTTTGTTTAATCTAAAATTAGTAAAATCGCCGTACAATAGCTCAATAAATGTGATGAAACTAGTGCAAAAGATGACTAATTTGATATACATTATTAGAGCGCGTACGTTTCTATCGAAAAAACAATTCTAAGATTATCTGAACAATATATTAAATATTTCTTAAGCAATTCTTTAAATAAAATGAGCATACAACTTTAATAAAGATTACTTTACATGTGTTAAATATATAAATATCATTTTGCTAAAAGCAAATATAAATTTTTGCAAAAAATAATGCACGGATCTGTAGGTAGTATAGAAAAATGCTAAGAAGATATCTTGCAAAGGGTCATTTTGGATAGCACTTACTTGTTCATTATGACGATAAAAATCATATAATTCAAGTAATGAATATTACTTCTTAAAAAAAATTCATAAATATAACAATATTTATTACAAAATCATGATATGTAGCATGTTTTTTTGAATTCTACGAACATGCCTCCTCCTTTGTTTTTTTGTACTAGTTCTTTGTCCCTTATAACACGCTAGTTTTCTGGAACGTAACTACCGTGTTGTACGGGGGTTACCTGTATTTTAAAGTAGGGGACAAAATCATCCAAATCAGGCGACCTCGCAATCAGAATTTTGTGAAGAAAGTTTTTTGTGGGTTTGTGCACTGTTGTTTAGTTTGAGATACCTGAATATGATTTGTAAATATGCGTTATTTAAGGGGGTATTCTAGTCTTAGACCTTATACTACATGGACTGCTAGTCAAACGCAAAGTAAGTGCTCAAATATAGAAGGGTATGTGACGTCACATGTCTGAGCGAACATTGCCGACGACAGTCGCGGACTCTCCCGATTGACTAAATGTGGAAATACTCGGTATACCGGTATTTCATTCTCTAATTACCATGATTTCTCTAGTTCTACTAAACCCACATATTTGAAACTTTCAGAAAATCTTCTTTACAGACTTTACTCGAGCATATACTAGCCTCAACCCTAAATTTCAATGTTTACTATTTTTAAAATTTTTATGAATCTCATAAAGTGGTGAGGAAAATAATACTTTTTTAAAAAATAATTAGTTTTTATGCATAAATTTACATTGCATATTAAATTGAAGTCTGATATCAGTTGAGTATTTATAAATACTAATTGTTGAAAAAATCAAGGGGGCAACAAATTTTTTATTAGAGCAGGGAGGCTCAGTGCAAAAAAAGTTGGAGATTACTGACGTAAGGCTTTTAGGGAAAGGGAGGGTGACAAAACTACAAAATATCTAATAAAATAGATACTACAAATATGTAATATTTGATTTAAAATATCACCAAGGGGGAAGGAATGTCCAAAAATCTCTAAAAAAAAATCGGTCACGTGATTACTGGACGCCCCCTTTTGTTATAGATTTCTTACTAACATACAATATCCTTATCCCCAAATTTCAATTTCTACTATTTTTGAAAAATTTAAAAAACTCAAAAAAGTGGTAAAAAAATGATACTTTTTTTCTTCAAACTATTCAGTTGAAATTTTCAGAGAATCTTCTTGGAAGGCTTCCATTCTAAGGGTAATTCGGCAAAAATTCACAAAATGCCACGTGGGGAAGAAAAGGGTTTAGTAAGATATCGCATGTATTTCTTTTTTACAAGAATTTAAGAAAGAAAATTAAAAAATATTACGATTTTTCCTTCTAACTAAAAAAATACACGTAATGCTTGGAGGGGTAAATTTAAATATCACCAAGGGGGAGGGAGGGTTCAAAAATCTCTTTAAAAAATCGGTCACGTGACTAATAGTCGTATTTCAATGTTTACTGTTTTTAAAAAATTCGTGAAACCCAAAAAATGGTAAGAAAAATGAAACTTTTTTCCAACCAGTCGCTATTTTGTCAAAAAAAACTTTTTTTGATTTTTAGTATATGCATTTCATTCTGGAGGGGTTGCAACCGTGGGCATCGTTTCTGAAAATCATCTTTATTATTCTTAATATAAAATATTTTCATAAAGACTACAAAATCCTAATCTAGCAAAAAAGCTCTATTATTTTTCAAAAATGATTTTCCTGGTACTTCCACTTACAATTTTTTTCTATTGTGTCCTCAGTTCAAAATTCAATTTTGAACAACTTAATTGTACTCGTCATATATTATAAATTTAAATCTGTATTTCTGCAGATGTAATTTTAATAAGGGATTTGAAAAAATAATGAGAAATCAGTCTTAGTTAGTAGTATTACTAACTTTTTGTCCTTACAAACTGTAACAGACACTTAACCTACAAATGTCGGTTGAAACCTAAAATTGCTGCTATCAAAATTTTTATTTAACAGTTGAAAATATGTAAATTATCCCCATGCAAGTTTAAATATCATTCTCCCATCACTCACCTCTCGAGCTTGATTCATATCAACAGCATAAGCTTGCAGATCGCATTTGTTGCCTACAAGAACCATGGGTACTTCCTCAGCATCTTTGACACGTTTGATTTGTTCACGATAAGTTCCTACAGAAGGAAAAACAAACTTAGTACCTACTACTACTACTACTACTTATGATTTGAATCAATGTCTTACCGATGTCTTCGAAACTCTTGGCACTGTTTACTGCAAAGACTAAAAGGAAACCCTCTCCGGTTCTCATGTATTGATCACGCATGGCAGAGTATTCCTCTTGACCGGCTGTATCCAGAATGTCTAATAAACAAGTCTCACCATCTGCAGAGGGAAAAATGTTGGAAATAAATAAACCAGGTGTGGTAATAGACTTAATCAATTGAAATTGAGATAAAATTACACTGATGTAAAAACCCATTATTGCATTAACCATTGTACAATTCTATAACGCCCATAATAATAATTCTTCAAACGTTCCTCCAAATTATATAATTAAAAAATGGAAAGTGCAAGTTTGGTAATGAAACGTCAAACTGAGTCAAATCTAAAACTCACCTATAACAACTTGTTTTCTATAAGAGTCTTCGATCGTCGGGTCGTATTCGTCAACGAAATGATTCTGAATCAATTGTATAGTTAGGGCTGATTTTCCGACACCTCCAGCACCCACAACAACTAATTTGTATTCAGTCATTATTGCGAATAAAAGACTTCAGAATCCTCTTGACAGACACTAATGAATCCACTTATCGCACTTGTATTTATGAACTTCGTATCGTTTCAATCGATTTTATTATTGTAGGTTTAATTAATTTTGTTAATTTAACGCAGTGCAAGTGTGTGTATGTAATTATTAATTAATTATAAAAGCGTTTCCAGCCCATTTCAGCAAAAAGGCGACTACCAACTTTCACTCGACGACAATTGTCATAAATGAAGAGGTGACATGGACTATGTCGATGTGCGGGATAAAATAGTTATTTTGTTATCCACTTGGTAAAAGAATTGGAAATAGTCAATAATTTTGCAAAAAGCTAAAAATTAGGTAACTAGTGGTATATGGCATCGTACCTTAAGTCAAATTGCTTGAACTTTCCGTACCGTAATGAAATATTCGAGGAATTTCAAATGGATCTTTAAAAATACTGTAACTTTCATTATTTTTGATATCTTGTTATATCTGAATTAATACTGTAAGCAAATCTAATGCAAATTATAATCAATATTATCTTGAAATTATTCACTATTCACTATCTAATTCTATTTCAAAAAAATAGCTCCGTATAATTTACACAAATTTAAAAATGAGTTCCGGTACAGTCACAGTCTCAACGCACATGCAAATAATTTCCTGCGACATTTTACTTATACTATGTCTAGCTTGGCGGCATTTTCACATTTTTCAATAGTTTTCACAAAATTGGAAAAGTGCTCCAGTACAGTCACAATCTAAACGTACTAGCAAATATATTCGCACCAGATTGTCACTGAGACTGTGCTTAGCCTGGGTAATTTTTTGAATTTTTAATCCAAAATTACAAAAATATTTTATGGAAAATAAAAATAATTTTTTATCCTCAAAAGCAATTGTTTTGGTAATACAAGCAGAAAGTTTTTTAGATCATTCAAATCGGACGCTTGGTTCACAAATTTTGATTTTTTAGATTCAAAATTTGAAAAGTGCTCCAATACAGAAACAGTCTAAACGCACTTGCAAATATATTTGTATCGGGTTATCACTTAGACTGTGCTAAGCTTGGGTAATTTTTTGAATTTTTAACCCAAAATTACATTTTCATGATTAGCATAAATTTAGAAAAGTGCTCCAGTATAGTCACAATCTAAACGTACTTGCAAATATATTTGTACCGGGTTATCACTTAGACTGAGCTTAGTCTGGGTAATTTTTTGAACTTTTAACCCAAAATTGCATTTCTATAATTTATTTCTAATTAAAATTAATATCCTGATCATTTTCGATATAGAATTTTTGAAACAAAAAAAAGCCTTTACCAAAAACACAAAAAATGTTTTTTAAATCATTGAAATTGGATATTTCGTTCTTTTTGTAATCTACGATTTTTAACATATTTAGTTTAGTATCCCCAAAACGGCTGGACCTGCCTTTGTCAAAAACTGATCACTACTTCTCCTCATCATTACGAATTGAATGTTTCTCGAATCATTTCAATCGGATGGTTTGTTCTTTCTAAAACCTAATTTCTATTTTCTGCTTTCTTTTCTCTGTATCTCCAAAACGACTAAACCTGTCTTTAATAAAAACTAATCAGCACGTCCTCCTATCAATAGGAATCGAATGTTTTTTTAATTATTCAAATCGGTTGATCAGTACGTCCGAAATCGTGGACAAAAATTGTATCCATACGAAACCTATACGAATCAATTTTTTCTAGGGTATTTCAAAATGTTCAGAAACCTTTGAAACGTAAAGATATGCAAAACATTTCATTTTCGATTTTCGGCCCATTACTACAACTTACACTACGGGAAGTTAATAACAAGAATGAATCGATAAAAAGATAGATTGTTAATAATTTACACTTTCTAATAATATTTTTATTTAATAATGTGATATTATTAATAAGTTTATTACTAATAAAATCATATTTATTAAATTGGAATAATTTCAATTTTGTTTAAAATGTCTCCCTGTAGTCGGCGCTGTTTCCACAATGTCTCATCTTTTCTTAATTCGTTCGTCGTTGTCTATGGTCCTTCTGATTTTCTCAACATATGACAGTGCATTTGACGTTTGAGTGACATTTAAGTTATTATTTATCGTTTAATGCAAAATATAAACACTTTAAATGTTTAAATATAGTCTAGTTAATAAATGTGGCAGGTCGGTTTACTACTACATCCAACAGCAATCATTTTACCAACCTAGGTTATATTATCTGATTTTTTTCGTTGGTTTTTCAGCTTAGGAAATGTCTTGTAATTCCTCAGGATACATGGATGGAGTGCCTGTTAAAATTTCCGAACAATACAAACCTCCGCCTCGTATCACACTCCCACAAAATGTATTTCAAAGAGTTAACCTAATCGCGGACGACCTCTCAAATTCCACATACGATGTATCCTTCGAGCACAACGTTGTTAAAAAAATCAAAGAATGGCGTGCTACAAAAGATAAAGAGTCCACCGAACGAAGACGGAGACTCGACCAGTTGCAAGAAGCCGAAAACAAACAATTAACTGAGGTATCATACCCCAGTACTGATGATTTAAGTGAGTTATCATCCCAGGGTAATAACGATACAACACCTCTTGCCAAAACCACAACTGCAATCCTTCAGCCTCAATTAATGAACACGATACCTTTTACAAATCCGTCTTTGCAAAACTCGATCGGTTACAAAATAAATTATTCAGATTTTGAAAATGACACGTCTAGTCCGTTTGATAACATGGAGTTAAAAACTATAAATGATATAGAACTTTTAGCACAGGTTTTAAGTAATTCACAAATCAAACAACAACAAGATGATACGAATCAGTATTTTGTAATAAATAGTCCTAGTAGTAACACCAATTCAAATACTAAATCCGATTCAGACAAATCTTTACCAAACGGTTATTACAATTCAAATTTTTCTTACCAGTATCCGGTAACAACGGCTTATGCAAATTACACTACATACAATCAACCTGTCGAGTACAATTATCCCGTTCTGTACGATAATACACAATCAAATTATTTAGATTCAAACAAAATGTTACAATACATGCCTTCCCAGAATCCTATCGCTCTCAACTATCAACAAAATCCTCCTACACACCAGAGATCGAAATCTCGCAGTGTTCCTGACATTGTAAAAGAATTGGAAGACGAATTGTCTCAAGCCAAAGAGGTGATTTCGAAGAGATCACAGAACGCGAGTCCGGCCCCGAACAATAAGAGGTCGCCGGAGTTCTCTAGGGGCACCAAACAGCAGATGAGAGTGAAAAGCATATCGGAGAGTGAAGATCTGTTGGAGAATCCTTATAAGAACTTGTCGCCTAGTATGCAGAAGACTGCTTTTCATATCAGTCAGATGGGGTTTCCACTGCCGAGGACAGCCAGGGCCTGCAAAGCTATAGGAGATAATGATAAAAAGGTAAATATAATATAACAAATAACTAGTGGTGTATGGCACCGTGCCTTAAGGCAAATTGCTGGAACTTCCCGTACCGTAATGAAATATTCGCGAAATTTTAAACGTTTTCAAATATATTATTTACAAATACTGTAACTTTCATTATTTTTGCTATCTTGTTATATCTGATATATAACATCTGATAGATCTAATATAGTTTATTATTTTTTTTTTTTCTCTCCATATTTGTCTTTAGTTTTTTTTTTGGCGTATCTACTAATTTGTAAACAATCAATTGTAAACAACTTGTCAGCATTCTCTGCTAAATATAATTATTTTTATAGATTGCAGAATGAAAATAAAATAAAATTCAAAAAAATCTGAGCAAATCAAATGTAAATCATAAATAATTCAATTTATCTCCAGAAAATATTAACAGTCGTCATTTCATTTCGAATTCAATTTAAAAAATAAAGTAGAAAATAGTTGCCCTATTTACACAAAATCGAAAAAGTGCTCCCGTATAGTCACAGTCTAAACGCATTCGCAAATAATTCTGCGCGACATTTTCACTTATACGGTGCTTAGCTTGGCGGCATTTTCACATTTTTCAATAGTTTTTCACAAATTTGGAGAAGTTCTCCAGTCCATAAACAGTCTAAACGCACTTGGGTAAACATTTGTACCAGAGTGGCGCTTAGACTGTGCTTAGTCAGGGTGATTTTTTGAATTTTTAATCCAAAATTACAAAAATATTTTTTGAAGAAAAAAAATAGAAACAAATTATTTTTTTCCAAAAGCAATTATTTTGTTGAAACAAGCAGAATTTTTTTTTGAATCATTTAAATCGGACGCTTAGTTCTCTCAAAAACTGCCATTTTTTTAACATTTTGCTCGGTATCTCCGAAACCGCTGGGCCTACCTTTGCCAAAAACTAATAACCACTTTTCCCGGTCATTACGAACTGAATGTTTTTTTGGATCATACAGATCGGATGATCCGTTCTCTCAAAAACTCGATTTGTATTTTCTGCACTCTTTGCCCCATATCTCCGGGAACGGTTAGACCTGCCTTCGCCAAAAACTAATCAGCACTTCTTCCTATTAATAGGAAATGAATGTTTTTTAAACCATTCAAATCAGTTGATCCGTGCGCCCGAAAACGTGGACGAAAAAATGCGGACATACAAAACACATACACACACACATCCATTTAGTTTCTGAGGTATGCCAGTAAAATGTTCAGAAACCTTCAAAACGTCGAGAAATGCAAAAATTTTCATTTTCGATTTTCGGCCCATTACTACAACTTTACCTTGCGGGAAGTTAAATATAATTTAACTAATTAGCAAACCCGACGAACTCCGTTTCGCCACTAGATGGTTTCGTGAGAAAGATGAAGAAATTTTTTGTTTGTTTTATATTTGAAAAGGAAAAATTTAATTTTATTATACAACAGTAATGAATTTATTTCGATTACAAAAATGAAGTGTTTTTTAGTTGAACTTCTCTAAGTAAATGAAAGTGAATCCGCAAATTATCCGTTTCATTGAAGTGCTCTTTGGTAAACCACATTTTTTGTTTTTTGGTCTGACGTTAACACAAACAAAGCGGATGGTTTTCCAACTCGTGAACAGGCAACGTATAACTGCCCATGTGAAAAACAATGATTTTCTAAATAATCTATTTGAAATTTATCTTGCAAACACTAAGCGTTTGGCCTTGCGACTTGTTATTGCGAACGCAATGCGAACTGGAAATTGCAATCGTTTGAAGTCAAATGGAAGACCAGTCGGAATCATTGGTATGTCACCAAATCGCCAGCAATTTTTGATTGAATGGTGAAATTCAGTGCGTGTACATCATTATTCTTTGTGGCAAGAATTGCTCGTTGACTTAATCAAGCATAATTCTGATAATTCTCACTAATGTCATTACTCGAATTTTTAATTACGGTGCGTGAAGTTCCGGCAATTTGCATTAGGGCACGATGCCATGCACAACTAATTTTCTTAGCTATAAACCTTGCGGAGCCCGAGACCTTAAATTGTCGAAATCGGTTTGTGCGTTCTGGAGTTATTTCGTCAGGAAGGAAAACCCGACTTATTTTTATTTATTCTTTTCCAGGTTGTCGAGTACCTCTTGGCAATGGGCCAACTGATGGATTTAGGATTCTCGGAGAGCAGAGTGTCCGAGGCCTTATTGAAATTCAACAACGACCGAGACAAAGCATTAGACTTTCTCATAACGTAGTAGCTATGTATATAAATATAAATATAAATATTTATTATTAAATGTTTCACATATTGCATATAATTTTATACCAAATGTATTTATTTAAAAACGAATATGAAAAATGAATGAACATCATTCCTTTAAACTTTGTGTTTGGTGATTCTTTTTTAATGGTACACGAATTTTTAACATTTAATATATATTTGAGTGGTTCTTAACATGGACTTTTTCGAATTTCTTTGCTCCCAAGGGCTCAAATGCTTCCAAATTAATAGCAAAAAATCCACTAAAAGTTTTAGCTCTTGATATTAACATTTAGATAGTTCGCAAATCAATTAAAAGTTTCGTATATTCATTATTACCATATATTCTTGCGCCGTCTGTGATAGCATTTGTGAACTTCACTTGAAAATATTTATAAATCACTCAACCTCTAATTAAATCCGTGTGGACTGTTTAACGAAATATTTATTCATCATGGCATCAAAATTAATTTTGCAACAAAATATTTATTTAATTCGTAATGTTGACACTCAAATCATCAGTAATAAATTGCCATCAAAATTGCAAGTCTGCTATCACAGATGGCGCAAGAATTTACTTAATGATGGATGTTAATAATAAATATACGAAACTTAATTAAATTGTGGACTAACTAAATGTTGATATTGAGAGGTTAAACTTTTTGAGATTTTATTTTTATTATTTTGGAAGCATTTGAGCCCTTGGGAGCAAGGAAATTCGAAAATTTCACCCCAATATTATATATATATATATATAGATGAGATTGGATTTGTAAATATTGTGTAGAGCTCTTCAAACAAAGAATCCAATTATAAGAAACCAAAAAGTTTTTTTGAAAGATTTTTATTTATTATCAACGTTTCGGAACCAAGTGCGTTCCATCCTCAGGACATGTCAAGTTTTTCATGATTTGATTTGATATATTCAAAACAGAAACAATAGAGGGTTTTAATAAAATTGATCAAATTATGAAAGAGAGATCATCGTATTTTATAAAATAAGATTAAAAATAATAAATGAATGTATATGTGACGAACTGATAGTTAGAAATGGATTATATGATAACTAGGATTTTTTAATAAAATATGAATCATGAGAAAACAGAAATATTTACCTGAATTTTTCTAGATTTTGAATTAAAAAAACGGAATTATTATAAAAAAAAATTAGGTAAATAATTCTGTTTTTTCTTATTTCCTTATTTTTAAATTCTAGCTAATATTTGTTTCTTTTATAAAATCCATTTCTTCATTATTGTATTTATTATATTCTATAAAATTCCGCCTCATTCATAAAAATATTAATTATATAAAAATCCTCTATTTTAATTTTTTCTTAGGAATATTGTTTTGGTTTGTTTACTTTCAAATGTCCTGAAGATGGAACATATTTAGCTCCGAAACGTCGATAATAAGGGGAAATCTTTTAAAAAAAATGTTTTGGTTTTTATTACAATTGAATTTTTTGTTCGAACCTCTATACAAATATATATATATATATATATATATATTTAAGAGTAACTAGATTTAATAAAATGCATAAAATATTAAGTTTTAAATACTTTACTTATTTCGACGAATGGGCTGCTAGTTACTCTTAAATATGTTTCAACGTCGAAAAAACTATCAAGATGTATATATATATATATATATATATATATATATATATGTTAAAGTAGTTAATTTTGATGTTGAGAAATATGAGTAAGTTCTTCAAGGGCATACATCAAATAAAAGGCTTTTTATTTGATGTATGCCCTTGAAGAACTTACTCATATATATATATATATATATATATATATATATATATATATATATATATATGCTTTTATACGTGTATTTATAATTTTAAGAGAATTAATAGCAAAGCGACCTTAAAAAACAACCACATACAATTGTGATAGTGATTCTCTAACGATTGTGATATTGTTTCATGTGTTTTAATTTTTATTTCTAATTAAATGTGTTTTTTTAACATAATGTATTGTCATTAATCGAGTTGTGCTTAGAAACTTATTGGAAACAAAAAATATAGTTTGTAATTAATTGTAAATACGATGATATGTATCGCCGCAGAATTTTTATTGTAATCAATTTGAATATAAATGATTTTTATGAAGGAATTATTTGAGTTTTATTATTAGAAGAAATATTTTAACCAGTTTTAATTTGTATGTGTAATTATTTACACATGCAAATTAATTATCCGATTTTGTTATATTACCAAATACCTAAATTAATTAGTGGTGTATGGCAATGTTCCTTTAAGGCAACTTCCCGTACCAAAAAATATTTTTTTGAAATAAGGTTAACTTTTTTTTTTGAGAACAGGGTTGAGAAATTTTTAATTTTTGAAATAAAATTACTTTTTTTTGGGAAAAAAGACAAAGATTTTTGTTATTTCGAAATATTTTGGAAATTTTGAACTTATTTCCAAAGCAATCGTACTGCTTTGACTGCATAGAGACAAAACGTCAAAGCGCGTAAGCGCCGCGTCGCTGTCTAACGCATAAGCATTGGTACGGAACCCATAGGAATGTAAACAAAATTTATACTCATTGTTAAAATCTCTATAAAATATCTGATAATCTGATGTGCATATGTCTAATGTTCATTTTTGACCGCCAAATGGCATATTTTTTTACTTTTTTTACTAGATCTCCGAAACCGCTAGACCTGCCTTCCCAAAAATTTAATCAGTACTTCATATTGTCAATACAATTTAAATGTTTTTTGAATTATTAAAATCGGACGCTCCGTTGTTTTTAAAACTGAGTTACCGTTTTTGGCACGTCGGCAAAAATTTGTATCCGAACACAAACACATACATGCATTTTTTCTAAGGTATGTCAGTAAAATGTTCAGAAGCTTCTGAAACGTAAAGATATACAAAAAAAAATATTTTCATTTTTTTACGATTACTATAACTTATACTACAGAAAGTTAGTAAAATCAGTGCAAGAATAACATTCTAGATCCTCCCCCCACGAAGTAATGCTTAACGGCGTTTTCCGTGGGGACAAAGCGAAGGTTTTAGTCGGTATTATACCGACATACACACTTTTCTAAGGTATGCCAAAATGTTCAGAAACCTCTGAAACGTAAAGATATGCAAAAACTTACTTACCCTACGGGAAGTTAATAAAAGATAGTTAATAAAAAAGAGAATCAATTAACAAGCAAACTAAAATATAAGAGAGTAAATAAAAAAGGACTCTACTGACAAGCAAACTGAAATAAGACAGTAAATAAAAAAGGACTCTACTGACGAGCAAACTGAAATAAAATACAGTAAATGAAAAAGGACTTTTCTGACAAGGAAACTGAAATAGAAAAACAGTAATTAAAAAAGGACTCTATTGACGAGCAAACTAAAATAAAAAATAGAAAATAAAAAAGGACTCTACTGACAAGCAAACTGAAATAGAAATATAGTAAATAAAAAAGAACTCTAAAGACGAGCAAACCGAAATAAAACACAGTAAATAAAAAAAGGACTCTACTGACAAGCAAATTGAAATAAAAGATAGTAATTAAAAAAGGGACTCTACTGACGAGCAAAACCGAAATAGAAAAACAGTAAATAAAAAAGGACTCTACTGACAAACAAACTGAAATAGAAAAACAGTAAATAACTAGTGTGGAGCATGGCATCGTGCCTTAAGGCAAATTGCTGGAACTTCCCTTCCCAAAAATTATTATTTTTTTAAAAAGATTAACATTTATAAAAAAAATATTTCGAAAAAATTATATTTTTTTAGATACTATAAATTTGACAAAAAATTACTTTTTCTTGAAAAAAAAATTTTTTTGAAATAAAAATGTTTTTGGCACTTTTTGCCCCGTATCTCCTAAACAGCTAGACCTGCCTTTGGCAAAAACTAATCAACACACCTCCTTAACGTAAAGATATACAAAAATTTTAATTTTCGTTTTTTTGCGATTACCATAACTTACACTATGCTTACACTAAAGGAAGTTAATAAAATCAGTGCAAGAATGGTAACATTCTAGATCCTCCCCCCACAAAGAAATGCCTGAGCGTTTTCGGTGACGACTGACATACCCAGACAAAAGACCTAGTCTAAAATAAGTAACTAGTGGGGTGGGTGGCATCGTGCCTTAAGGCAAATTGCTGGAACTTCCCGTACCGTAACGAAATGTTCGAGGAATACTGAATGTTTGCAAATAGATTATTATAAATATTGTAATATTGTCCAATATTTAAAAGAATTACATAAACTGAATTGCAAAGTTGAAATTATTTGTTTAAAGTATATTAGAACTACAGTCAGAATTAAAAATAAAACCTGAATTATTTTCGCTATACAAAAAATTAAAAAAAAAAAAAAAAAAAAAATTGTAACAAAATTTTTTTTTCCAAAATCAATTATTTTGTTAAGACAAGCAGAAAGTTCTTTGAATCATTCAAATCGGACGCTTAGTTCTCTCAAAAACTGCCATTTTTTACATATTTAGCTCCGTATCTTCGAAATGGCTGGGCCTGCCTTTTCCAAAAACTAATAAACACTTCTCCCAATCATTACTAATTGAATGTTTTTTAGATCATTCAAATCAGATACTCCGTTCCCTCAAAAAGTCGATTTCTATTTTCTGCACTCTTTGCTCCGTATCTTCGAAACGGCTCGACCTGCCTTTGCCAAAAACTAATCAGCTCTTTTACCTATCGATAGGAATCGAATGTTTTTTGAACCATTCAAATCGGTTGATCCGTGCGCCCGAAAACGTGGACGAAAAATTGTATCCATACATACATACACACACACACACATCCATTTTTTCTGAGGTATGCCAAAATGTACAGAAACCTTCAAAACGCCGAGAAATGCAAAAATTTTCAATTTAGATTTTTGGAAGATTACAATAACTTACCCTACGGGAAGTTAAAAACAGTAAATAAAAAAGGATTCTACTGACGAGCAAAATGAAATAGAAAAATAGTAAATTAAAAAAGGACTCTACTGACGAGCAAACTGAAATAAAAGGTAGTAAATAAAAAAAAGACTACTGACGAACAAACTGAAATAAAAGACAATAAATTGAAAAAGGGACTCTACTGACGATAGATAGTAAGATAGTAAATTAAAAAAGGACTCTACTGACTAGCAAACTGAAATAAAAGACAATAGAAAAAGGATTCTACTAACGAGCAAACTAAAATTAAACACAGTAAATCGAAAAAGAACTCTACTGACGGGCGAATGCAATGTGACAAGATATTTTATGGTACAAGAACTCTTCTAACTCTAAAAAATTTCATTTTCGATTTGTTTTTTGCGTTACACTACAGGAAGTTAATAAAATCAGTAAAAAAATTATAACATTCTAGATCCTCCCCCCACGAAGTAATGCCTAACGGCGTTTTCCGTGGAGACCAAAGGCAAGGGCAAAGTGGAGGTTTTAGTCGATATTATATCCAGGCGAAATTTAGTCCGACATACCCAGACAAAAAACCTAGTCTGGGATGCATGACAAATAAAAACACACTACATACATACGCACACTTACATTAATTTTTTCTAAGGTATGCCAAAATGTTCAGAAACGTCTGAAAACGTAAGGATATGCAAATACTTTTATATTCAATTTTTTGCAATTATTACAAACTTATCCTACGGGAAGTTAATAAAAAAAAAAATTAATTATTACCTAAAAGATCCATTCTTCCTGTAACCATCGTATATTCAATTTCATTTGCAATATATATACACAATCTGTTGTACAATTAAAAATCTCCTCTCCTCTATATCTCCTCGTCCAATAGTAATTGCTTAAAATAGTGCCTGCAGCATATCACCGTCTGGCTGATGGGCGCGTCGTAGTTTTTAAACAGGCCCTTGCACTCTTTATCGACCAGTCTGTCGTATGCGTTCGCATATTCCCTGTGAAATGCTCCAAAGTCTATACTGGATTGTCCTGCTACGATTAAAGCCAAGAATAAAATGTCTCTGTAGATCGAGTGGGTCCTCTCGACGCCCTTCGATTGCAGCTTGTGCCTCTCCTCGGCCAGTCTTTTCAAGGGTTCGGTCAGGTCGTTGCATCGGATCGATGTCATTATTTGTTGTAATACTCTGGAAAAGGAAATAGAAGGAATTGGAATCATAGTAATAATTTATTCGTTTTTTTTGAATACATGTTACTCAATTTGAAAATATCAAGTTAAAGTCGTGGTCTATTACTATTATTATTCACGCTTTTTTTAGGACGCGTTTTACCAAAATTTCTAAATAATTTTTTTAACTAATGGTGTATGGCATCATGCCTTAAGGCTGGAACTTCGCGGACCGTAATGAAATTTTAAACGTTTTCAAATATATTATTACAAATACTGTAACTTTCATTATTTTTGCTATCTTGTTATATCTGAGCGAATCAAATGTAAATCAAGCCTTAATTAAACTATTTGAATTTTATAACATTTTTTTTCTTCAAGTTATTGTATTAGATAATACTAATGTTAGGCTTAATATTGTTTAATAGTTGTATTTTACTATAATTAATTCAATTTAGATAATTTATTTTCTGTAATTATTAAATTTAATCCTGTATCCGTAATATATATATTGATTGTAATATATAATAAATTGATTTATGATTTATTATATTTATTTATTTATTATATTTATATTTATAAATATAAATATAATAAATAAATAAATATAATAAATCATAAATCAATTTATTTCAAGAACATTAACAATGGTCATTTCATTTCGAATTCAATTTCAAAAAAAAAAATAATAGTTGCCTAATTTGCACAAAATTGAAAAAGTGCTCCCGCATAGTCACAGTCTAAACGCATTTGCAAATAATTCTGTGCGACATTTTCACTTATACTGTGCTTAGCTTGGCGGCATTTTCACATTTTTCAATATTTTTTTTTGACAAAATTGTAAAAGCGCTCCAGTTCTTAAACAGTCTAAACGCACTCGGGTAAACATTTGTACCAGAGTGGCGCTTAGACTGTGCTTAGCCTGGGTGATTTTTTGAATTTTTAATCCGAAATTACAAAAATATTTTATGGAAAATAACAAAAAGATGTAATATTTTTTTATCCTAAAAAGCAATTGTTTTGTCAATGCAAGCAGAAAGTTCTTTAAATAATTCAAATCGGACGCTTAGTTCACTCATAAACTGCAATTTTTTGTACATTTAGCTCTGTATCTTCAAAATGGCGGGACCTGCCTTTAACTAAAACTAATCACCACCTCTACTCATCATTACGAATTGAATATTTTTTAAATAATTCAAATCGGTTGCTCCGTTCTCTCAAAAACACGTTTTCTATATCATACACTCTTTTCTCCGTAACTCCAAAACGGCTGAAACTGCCTTTGCCAAAAACTAATCAGCACATCTTCCTGCTAATAGAAATCGAATAATTTTTGAACCATTCAAATCAGTTGAATCGTGCGCCCGAAAACGTGGACGAAAGTTGTATTCATGCATACATACATACACACACACACACTTTTTCTTAAGCATGCCAAAATGTTCAGAAACCCCTGAAACGTAAAACAATGCAAAAATTTTCAATTTCGATTTATGAACGATTACAGAAAACTTACCCTACGGGAAGTTGAAAAAGAACTTCACTGAAGAGTAAATAAAAAAGGGCTCTACTGACGAGCAAAATCAAATAAAAAACAGTAAATTTAAAAAGGACTCTACAGACGAGCAAACTGAAATAGAAAAACAGTAAATAAAAAAAAACTCTACTGACGAACTAACTGAAATAAATGATAGTAAATAAAAAAGAACCTTACTGACAAGCAAATTGGAATAAAAAACAGTAAATAGAAAAAGGACTCTACTGACGAGCAAATTGAAATTAAAAAACAGTAACTAGAAAAAGGACTCTACTGAGGAGCAAACTGATAAAAAGACAATAAATAGAAAAAAGGACTCTACTGACAATCAAAAACTGAAATGAAAAGATAGTAAGAGTAAATAAAAAAGGACTCTATAAAGAGTAAACTGAAAGAAAAAACGGTAAACAGAAAAAGGACTCTACTAATTAGCAAGCTGAAATCAAAAACAGTAAATTGAAAAAAAACTCTACTGACGAGCAAACTGAAATAAAAGACAGCAAATTGAAAAAGGACTCTAATGACGAGCAAACTAAAATTAGAAACAGTAAATAGAAAAGGACTGCATCGAACAACTCAGGCAGCATTCACGGTTTAAAAAAAACGTTTTATTCAATTTGAAAATAATATCAAGATAAAAACATGGACTACCACGGTTGTATTTTTCGATAAATTCTGGGAAATTATAACTGAGAAAATGTTGTTCGACAAAATGTCCCTGTGATCGATACCAAAATTTAGGTTCTGAATTTAAATAACATTAATAAAAAATAATATAACCTTGAAAATGTTTGATAAATACCAATATGAGTATATAATTATACAAATTATATCTTTCAGAGCACCGTATTTGAGAAAAATATGCCAAAAAGTGAATTTTCATATTAACATTTCAAAAAAGTTGATCATTTGAGTTTCTAGCAACACTTGCAATCCGTATAATAACGTTTTTGTATATAAATAAAAATTCAAACAAAACTACTTACTACAATTTAATCATAATTAAATAATGTTTACGTAAAACATCCTATTAAACGTACTTGAACATCATCTGTCAAAAACTTTTGACATTTGACATATTAGCCACCGTCCATTGTTTTATTTAAATTACGCTTCTACAAAAATTTCGAAATTAAAAATTCTCTGGATTGGCACGAATTTTTCAAGACTAAGACTGGCCAAATCGGTTTAGCCGTTTTCGAATTTTAGCCGATAATTTTATCGAGAGCTCTATTTTTATTTATAAGAAAATTAGTAACTCAATGTATATATTTCGCGCACAAAAATGTATATATTTGAAACAAAATATGTTCATTCTAGCAAAAAGTCCGCTTAATTAGATTTTGTTTATGTATATAAATTTCATTTAAACATATATAAATCACTAATTTACCAAGGTTTTACATTTTGTCTATAAAGAACAAATAATTAAAGTTCTTGTTTTTATGATATCTATTCCTTGATCGATTTTTGTTGAATGATTATTTTTATTCCTGGAATATTCAATTTTCGGTACGAGAAGTTTCAGCAATTTGCCTTAAGGGGCACACCTAGTGTGACAACCTAAAAAAAGGTCATTTATGGAAATTAAAAAAATAAAAAAAAAACTAGTAAATCCATCTATTTGAAATTTCGAGGTTATGTTTATACATGTTTTGAGAATACACAGTAAAATTTTTTAAATGAAATTATAAATATTTTTAAAATGACATGCAATCTCCGGCAGCGCAAAAAAAAATCTCCACTGCTGGAGTGATTGGAGCCTTCTCCGTTGATAAAACATTTTTAAAAAAAATCTAGTTAAACTAGAACATATTACAATGCACATCGGGCAAAAAAAAAACAAAACTTGATAAAATGGCGGCTTGTTGAAAAAAAGTTAATTATTTCCCAAAATTTTGATAGTTTTTGGTCTGCCATAATTCGATTTTTGATCAGATCAAAAAACTGGAGGGTCATCGTATGGAGAACTATATAGAGGAGATGCAAAAGATTTGATAGCGAAAAATGCCGTTTCGAGAAAAACGCGTTTAAAGATTAAATGATCGTTATACCATATACTATATACATAGTACTCTTCTAAATGGCTGTGACTCAAAAACTATTTATGATATCGATTTAAAATTTTGGTATGTTATTTTTAAAGGTATAACCTATTGAAATATGGAAAAATTCAAACTACGATTTTTTGAAAATTTCACACTAGTTGTATCCCTTAAGGTCAAATGCCACTTACACCTAGTCCTCCTACATTACAATAAACATTATATAAACTTAATAAATAAATCTTTTCCCCTACTCACACTTTCGATAACGAATTGTTATCCTTAATTAATTGCTCTACACTCTACAGTCTACACTATTGTTAATTCATTGCTCTACACTAGAATATCCCATTAAGGCCAAATACCACTTACAACTAGTTATACCACATTTCAACAAAAAATATATTTTTACTAAATAAATCTTTCCTCCCTACTCACACTTTCGATAACGAATTGTTATCCGTCAATAGGGCGCTGAGCAGAGGCGACGCCGGCTGCGCGCCGCTGCACCACAGTATGTAGAGCGGCGCCAGATTCCAGTCGTAGCCGCCCGAAGGACTGCGATGGAACACGCTGTTGTCCCACATGCACCGCACGGATATCGAAGGACGGCTGCGGTCGCCGTAACGGAGAGGGTCGATCGTCTCGGTGTCGTTCTCGTCCTGCGGAACGGCGGGCAGAGTCTGTAAAGGGTAATAGGACAGATGATAGATAGGTAGATTGATAAGAAAATAGGGGTGTATGGCATGGTGCCTTGAGG